AAAATACAATTTGTACAGATGTAACAATATAACATCAGCAGAAGTTAAATTGTTTTTTCAATAGTAGTTTCACAAATAAATTTTGGATTGATGAATTTTAAAAATTGTAAAATAAAAAGCTATGCTTATATCTATTATGAGACATACTGTACAAAATCCATTATAAATAAATCTAGTGAAATTAATTTTAGATTAATTACATTAATAATTTTTTACACTTAGTACTAAGTTTTTGTAATTAAGTATTATTACATTAATAAAGTTATAATAACTGTATTCACAAGTAATTAATACTTATCAGTTCAAGAATTGTTTTCTTAAAGGCATAAACATTTTGTTATGGAGTTTCTCCATAAGTCAAGTTTATTTATCAACTAAAGTAGTTTTGTGGAGATCAAATTGTTTTTACAGAAAGGCACCCTATATATGCATTATAAATAGAAGGAAAGCGCCAATGTTATAAAATGAAGGTAATGATCGCTCTAATATCTTTTAGAAATTTTACACTTATAAAAGGGCGATACATTAGCATCATTGAAGTTGTATTTTAAAAATTAATCTATATCTGCATATAGTATTACATTATTTCAGTTTTTCGACTGCTTAGACTTTTCTTTATCAACGCCCAATCCTCAAGAATATCTGCATCATTAAGCATATAAACAATGTAGGGTCCAGCAACAGAAACAGCTCTTCTTCTTTCAGTGTGATTTCTGCGTCTTCTCCCATTCGAATTTAACCATAAATCTGCATGAATATCAACGTTATTTTTATCCTCCTCTAGTCTACGAATTTTCTCTTGCAAATCATTATGAATGCAATCCCAGATTAATTCTTTTTCACTTTCAAAATTTTGCAATGCAGCTTGTTCTTCTGCTAGGAATTTATTTTGTATATTTTGTAATCTATATTGCTTTAGTATTCCAGCTACTTCTGTTTTTGTTTTCATATTTTCTTTTAAACGTTCTAATGGTACTAAATATTCTTCAGATTTTCCAACACGAACTTCTCCTAATTTTGTATCTACTTGAATAATTCTTTCACGATAAAGCCTGAAATTTGGTTTTGAAATCATATTCAGTGACTAAGTATATTTTTAGAAATTTTATTTGATAAAAGGATTTACTCACTGTTCTTTCAGAAGAGTGAATTGCCGTTCTAAGTCTACTAAATTTTCCATACATTCATTGCGTCTCCTTTCACATTCATCTTCATCCATTTCTGAGGAGTCATCGCTGTCGGTATGTTCTGCACTACTGTCACATGATGCAGAGCTTTGATTGCTTTCATTACTGTCATGAGACATTTCTTCTCCTTCTGGCTCAGATTCATCCTTAACGCTTGGCATCTGTCTGGATGTTAAGTTCACTTATAACATTATATAAGTTAAAACTTAGTTATATATTAAAAAACGTATAAAAATTTTCAAAACAGGTTTAATTTCGATGAAAATTTTTACACCAAAATTATTTCCACTGTACAAATGTATATTATAATAACATAACCTCAAACGCATTGTTTACAATACTGTCGTTTCATTTTAGTAATAATGGAAATAAATTGAAAACTATATACTAGCATTAAAAAACTGCTCTTAATGTCACGATAAGAGAAAAATGTATTTTAATAATATTGGCATTTTCTACAATCAGAAATTTGGGAAACTCTACTTTATTTTTACTCTAAAGTATATTATCCAAAATCTTTGACAAATAATTATATTATTATTTATGGTATATTAAAGATATACTCACTGTAATATAATTGTATACTTTTTTTTAAAGTGACGTCACAAAATACTTAAGGTCGTGAAAAAAGAATGGTATGTACTTGTCTCCTTCCAAGCGAAATCAACCATTTGTATCTGATCACCTAAACATGCGGAGTACTCGAGTATGCGCAGTGGAGTTCGCGAAAGATTGTGTCTTATCTTAAATTAAATGTAGGGTACGATAACTATAGAACTTCGAAACTATGTAAGATTTTCAATCGCAGTTTATTATTATATTTACTTATAATTTACATTGTTGTTTTTAATGACAGTTATATTTATGTATGAATAGCAATTAAACAAATTAGAAAATTATTAGCGCAGGCAAAGAGTTAATTGAAATAAGCAATAAAAAAATAAAAGAATTTTCATTAATTTTTATTAAAATATGGTTAGACATTACATTAGAATTGTAAAGCAAATCAATTTTGATTTTCAACCATTCGAAAAGTATAACGATTTTTTATATTAATTTATGTCAAAATTTATTAAATATTTCATAAAATTTAATGTTTTGTGAATTATACTTTTTATTTAATAAATTCTTCAAGTCCCTTTAATATTTTACATTTTTCCATCAATTTATTTTTGTAGGTTGATTGTATTTTGGACTAATCTTATAATCAGTAGGACTGTGAGACGTGGTAATTAGAGGATGTCTTTACTATGATAACTATTGCTGTAAATCTTTGATTTATACTTTGGAGTGATGTCATGATAAATATGAAAATGCCTATTTTCTCACAGTTATGTATGCATATGTATGTGTATACTTTCTGGCCATACAATCGTTACATGTTATTTGGTAATACCTTTCAAACTTTTAATATAAAGGGTTTTTTTGAAAGAAATTCTAAAGAATGGCATTAATTTTCAATGCACTTATTTTAAGGTCTTTTTTAACTTTGCATGATATGAAGCATATTGAGGGATAATAATGAATTGTTTTCTAATATATGTTTTGTTTTGAATTCTTCCTTTATGTTTGTATCTTTTAAAATTATTTATGTAGTTTTATAACTTTTATATGCAATGTTTCTAATTCCTTTATATGATTTTGAATTTGTCCAATAAGAAGCAATTAAATTTTTCATATCCAAAATTTCTAACATATTATTGAAACATTTCTTTCTTTTGGGAGCTAATTGCTGTAAATGATTGAGAATTTAGATGAGCATTGTAGTATGTTATAACGAATCCATGAAACAAAAAGTTTCATTTTCAAAAGTTTTCATTTTTCGTGGAATTCATTGTGTGTATCAATTATTTTGTGACTTAAAAACAGTTTTTTGCTATTGTAAATCAATTTTGTTTATCAAGTTGTTCAGAGACTAATTCTTGAATGAAAAATATTGGTAGTTCTTTATTGTTCTTTTATTTTTCAAATTTTTCTGCTTACTCTCTACCTACGCGAAAAATTTTGTGCTACACAACAGATAATGTGAAAAATTATTGAGTTAATTTTGTATTTATTTGCACCGTGTATGTTATAATATAATAAATGACAGTTCCACGTATGTAAGTAATAAATGACAGTTCAATGGAAAGGCTATTGTTAAGATAGATAGATAAATTTCTATTATGACATATTTATGATAGTAATAATTAGTATATTTCATTAAGTAATTTACTATATTATGCAGAATTTTATTTTATTACAACTTCATTTTTATTCAAAATTATGTTAGTTATTTTCTAACAGTAAAAATTTGACATATAATTGTTTTAAATGTAAATATTGTGGAGTATGGAATGGGAAGGCAAAAGGTGGCACAAAAGTGTTTTCGCTATGAACGTTTATATCAGACTGACTCGAGGACGTCTTCCTCGGTCTTTGGGTAGGTGCAATAATTTTAAGGAGACAAGTGCGGAACGGTTGGAATGACCAAGTGCCTAGTCCATTAAAAACCATGTGTTGTGTCACGACAGGTCGGCAGCAGGGCTCCATTAGAAGAGTTTTCTGTCGTATCGCCCACAATATATGTATGTAAATACCTAAAATGTTTCCTATATGTATAGTAGGACCCCGTATAACGCGATCAAAATGCGATAAAAAAATTGCTACTGCCTCCGTATAACGCGATCAAAAAAAGAAAAAAAAGAACACAAATTCTGAATATGTAATTTTGGGTTAATTAAATTTTATTCAAAAAGCGATGTCGGTGGAACTTAATTTGTATGATATTTCTCGCGTTATAGGGGGCTCTACTGTAAATAAAAAAAAATGAAGTGATCATAACATTTGTTCCAATTTCCGAAAAATGACATAGTTTTGTTTATTTAGTATTAAGTTTATTTAAGTTTTTGTTTATTAAGTATCTTTTTTATTATTAATGTTAAATCAGTAAATATTATTTATAATGAAAATAAGTTACAAAAATCTTTAAAAATGTATGAAAGTTAAGAATATCATTACATTTGTCGAATCTATTACAGATTGTTTAAATTTATATGAATTTGTATGGGTACATATTGACATTTGGATTTATAAAGGAAATTATGTATTTATTAATTTATGTATATGCTTTATTTCTTTTATTTCATTTTTCAATAACACAAAATTTTTAAATTTTGCAAATAAATTGAATTTTATTATAGAAATACGATCTTAAGGCAAACTGAATTTTATTGAATTCTTTATATCTTTATGCGAGAATATTTTATTTCAAAACGTTTAGCAAGAATTATAGTGAATGTATTTAGAAAGAATGCTCATAAGTATACAATTGCTTGCAATAAAGTATTTAATCAGTACAAAAGTAACTAAGGATCGTGCATTTAAACGTACGTAATAATGTTTAAAGAAGGTTCAACGAAACTTCAAGAACAATCGTACGTATTAAAATAAATAAAAAATGTTTAATAAAAAAGGTTCTCAAAATCATTTATTTCTAAATTGTAAGAATTTCATTTAGCTGACTGTTACCTTCTTTCACAGCAAATGTTCGAAATAACCGCCACTCAAACAAAAATGAACAACTTAGTAAAATGTCGAGATGTCTCTTATATTTCGACAATTGGTTTTCATTCGATCATTAAATTTACTAAATATTTTACCTTCTAAATAGCTTTATAAATAAAAATTGAGAAGAAAAATACTTTCTATCGCAGAAATAAATGAGGTTAAGATACATATCTAAGATAGACTCATTGTCAGTTAAATAGCAAATCTAGTCTCATTACGTTATTATTCACATGCATTAAATGTCGAATAATTAATAAACGGCATACATGTTTTTATAAAAAAAAAAAAAATTGAAGGTTTCTTAAGAAATGAAAATTGTTTCCTTTAATAAGTTTCACAGATAAAATTGTAAAAACGTGAAATTATAAAATATCGAAGGTTAGGTAGATTTTGAAAGAGTTGGACACAGTTCTCGAATAATTAACAAGTACCTCGAATTTCCGGCGAATGTTAGCACCACAAAAAAAAGTCGTACTTGAAGCACTGTTTTTAGTGGCGACAGAAACACTTTGAAGATCTTACCTTGTTAGTGTTGTAGGTTCTTGACCCAGAAACCTGTGTGCAGATACAATAATATATTTGGACCTGCATAGAACAAACAGACAGATAATGCAACATTCGCATAACTGTAAAGTATACTAGGAATTAATGTATACAGTATACATATATTTCTCGTGTGCTTTTTTGTGTTCCGTGAAAATTTTCGATTACATGGGTCTCTTTCTGCGCGAAAGAAAGGTACAGCTCGTTTTGTGCATTTTGTTCTCATCATATGAAATTCTTTTTTTTTTTCTTCTCCCTTTATGGTTGAGATTTATCGCACACGAGACGGTTACGGTAAGAATTCCTTTACTCCATAGAATTTGCAGGACGAAAAATTACTGCGATCGAGAATAAGGAGGAAATCGAGAGGAACGTAACTTGTGAACAATTGAATTTTGCAAGTCTCAAAAAAATAAAGGTGAATTAGAAATGATGTAGGCACTTGATTTCTTGTTTTTTTTTTTTTTTTACATATAATTTTACTTTCACGATACGAAGTCGTATTTTAACGTATAAAAGTTGGTTTTTCACGGTGATTTACGAGACAGCTATTTGCTTCAAGAAGAAAAGATGCGTGTGTTTGTGGAAATTGCCAGTTTTTTCATAAGTCGAGCAAATAATTCCTTACCATACACATCTAATGTGCCGTGTGCAATTTTTCACGTCGCAGCGGATTTTTTTTCCTTTGAAAAATAAAAAAGAATCCACCATCATCCCGTGTAACAACAATTTCATACAAATTTTCTTGATACTCATTTCATGCAACACTTACCACAACGCCATCGTGGTTCGTCAGAGTGAAATATTTCGAACGAAAATTCCGAATTTCTTCGGTGTGTGCGCTACTTACAAAAATAATTTCCAAATAACCCTGTCGAATTTATTTATTCCAGCAACGTAATTTTTCTTCAGACAAGTGTTTATGTACAGACATCGGTAAGCGAAGAAACGGGAAAAATATCAGTCACGATGAAAGAATAAAAAAAAAAGAAGAAACGACAATAGTTAACGGTAAAGTAATTAAAATTTTCGTTGCCGGAACAAATGTCGTACATTATTCTAAACTTACTTCAACTGGACAATGTTCATTTTTGCAAATTTTGCACAAAATTCTGGTCAATGTATCGTACACGATTCTTTATTAATTATTTCACTTGATCGTCTCCAAAGATCAGGTATAAAATTAAAAGATAATTAAAACATTTTTTTATTTCGTACTTTTTCACTTTCTATAGAATCTCTTTTTCATTCAACCATAATTCATTATGCTCAATTGCTGTATTGAACGAACGTTCGAAATAATATCTTGTCAACTAAATTTTATCGAACTGCGAAGGCGCTGTTTTCATATTTAGCTTGTCAATCGATCATACTTTTGGTTTAGAAGAATGTGCTCACATCGTACACGATCGTGAATTCACCGTTAGAAATTCTTTTTAATTCGACTAGGTCCAACTTGGTAAATCTTATAGAGATACGAAATATTTATATTAAAAATAAGAAAAGTTCTCACCAAACGTCAATTTCCAACAGTGACTTTCTTTCATTCTGAGAT